TGTGCGACGACAATATGGACTTGAATAAAGTTGAGCTTCTCGAGATAAGTAGCGAAGAGTCAGGACAGGTATATCATACGTAGGTTGACGGGGGTCGACCTACAAAACTGGCAGAAACTTCGGCGTCGGGGAAGGAGAAACTAGGATAACTGTCTGGGCGGTGCGGTGGGTGCCGCGTCGCAGTGCCGTCCAACAACACGAATTTCCGCCGGCAACAGCCTTTTTACACCGTCGCGTCGCCAGATGACATGACATGGCGTTGAAATCAATGCTCTTTCCACTATCCACTAGGCATGCATCGAAAACTTCTTGCGACGTCATTGCTAAGGGTCGTACTCATAATCGTTCTTTAAACAGCATTTCCAGATCCAGCAAATCGGCAACACTGTCCTTTTTCCATTTAACAGGGTGTCTACAGGTCCGGAATTTCTGGAAAGTCCGGAAATAGCACTGACTCTTTAAGGGCGGTCCGGGAGTACTGAAAAAGTGCGGAATTCCGCAAGAAGGTCCGGAATTTTTTTTCCATTTTTTGTCACCTTTGTCCCAATTTGAGCGAGAAATTCAAATTATTGAAATTTTTCGAATTTCGTGAAATGGATGTACTGAAAAAGTACTGAATTTTTCTGTGGAGGAGGTACTGAATTTCTTGGAAATGTACTGAAAAAGTACTGTAAAAGTACTGATTTTTGGCCAGCCTGTGTAAGTAGACACCCTGATTTAAACTCATGGAAATATATCGATTCTTGGAAGGACAATAAGGCACTCCGACAAGGATCAATCCGTAGCAGTAAATCATTTCCGAAATTATTCAGCTGAATGTTACTCGAGGTTCGGCAAAATTGCCAATTGTACGAAGCTAATTGGACCGCGTTTAGCAGGAAGGAACCAAGCCACATCAGCCATGTCTTCAACCGTACAAGTTAATTGTTTACAACAAAACGTTTGTGCGGATTCCTCCGAAAATTTCAAGGAATTCGCTTCGTTTCATGCAGAAAATTCACTGAAATTCGTACACGAATGCCTCACAACGGTTCTCATGTTAAACATGAAATTGTCCGATTAAATTTGGCAACAGCTGATGTGGATTGGCTCCTTTCCGCTGAATACGGTCCAATTTATGATGCTCAATCCTGAGGGATTCATAATGCATCACCCTCTATTTCGGCTTTCCGCCATGCAATATGTGTCAGCGAATAACCGATGGATGCATTCGTGAGGAAAACCTACTGCACTTAACTCGAGTTTACCTAAATTCCTCGCCGCGGAAAAGCCACTGAGTGGTGCCCCCCCTCCCCCCATCATTTCGCAGCAAGCGCCTCCGGTGCGGAGATTATCTCCGACAGCGACTAAGAGATCATAATCTCCCGCGGAAACATCTTTATCGGGCCCGTAATTGGTTTTCGCCTTGCGCCTTTCGGGAGATGCCTGGCGGATAAAACGCGGCGCCGACCGCGGGGGACTTTGATGGCTGGAACGGGGCGATTCAGATCGCGGCCCGCCAACTCGAATTAGCCGTTTAGCGCCCCCCTCGTGCCCCCCCCCCCCTCGATCGGATGAACGGGACGTCTTTTCAGTCGCCCCGACGACGAAATCGCTTGCCGTCCTAATCCGATGGTCGGGAAGCTCCGAGTTTCGGATCAGAGATCGGACGTCGCGGAAAGTTCCGAATTCTGAGGGGACCGTTCAGGTATTACTTAACGCACTTGGGGGGGGGGAGAGTTAGCAAGCGTTACGGTGCGTTACAAGGGGAGACTAGAGTCCCTTTACTGAGAGTCAAGACAATGTGAATCCATTTCTGATTGGTTCCCGTATTTTAGGCCTTCAGAGTGTCACCAACGGGAATAAAGATTACATTTTCACCGATTGCAAAGATTATAATCTGGAATGGACCAGGAAATTATGGGTTCGGCAAGGAACAAACGGAATGAGAGAAGGAACGGAGAAAGGAATTTGAAAATGGGCCGATCAAAGATTACAGAAAACGTTCAATTTCTGTAATCTTCATTCCCGTTTGTGACTTCATGAGGGGGTGTTGTCTTGACTCTCAGTATAAAGGGACTCTAGGGGAAACCACAGGTTACGAGGAAAAACTTGGAACTTTCAGTCTTGTTGGATCTGTGAGGAAAGAGCGGGATGCAGATTTGCGTCATCGAGTGTCAACAGAAATAAGCAGCTGCATGGCAAGTGTTCACTGATGATAATGATGATGACGTAGTAATTACTCGTTCCCTATGATTGCAAGGAATACAAGGAAAAACCTTACGCCGTGAAAGCCGTGCTAAAATTTCGACGCGTAAGTTTCGAATGCGATCGAGGAGGATCGCAACGTTAACACCGTTAAAACCGTTCCTTAATGACTGTCCTTGAATCCAGTATTAGTTCAAGTTTAGTTATTGATACAACTGATGAGTGCTCTGCAGGAATTTGGAACAGAAAAAAAAACGCCTAAAAATTTCAAAGGAATTATGATATTCTGAAGTTTGAAGTTATAAAAAAACTTAGTTTTTGGAAAAAGCTATTTGAAATCGATTCTTGCTATGCTCAGCCGGTCGATTTTTAAAATTGATGGACGAAAAAGACAAAAGGGGTATGGAGGGATCTTATTGGTGCCTTCGGGTGGTTGCAATAGTCGAAGAGGTGAGGTACTAGACTAAAAAACCCCAACGGACAAGGCTCTTTAGTTAGTCCATCCTTTTCCTCCGTAGTCTGTAAGAACCACCATTTTCAACCAATGGGATCACTCCATACTCCTTACGTTTTCTTTGTCTATCAATTTCAAAATTCAGCCCACAGGGCTTTATATGAAAGAATATTTTATAGAAATATGATGCAGTCATTTTTCGGCTCAAGTCAACGAAAATCGCGTCAAAATTTTGCCTCATATTGTCCCTTTTCCCAGATTTTAAATATTAAATAATGAGAGCAATAATCACTTGCAGCAAAGTCGTAAAAGTAATTCGTCAAGCGGTGGCTTTGATCGGAGTAAGCTCTTTGCTCAGATCACGCGACATGGGCACTAGGGCATTTCCACCCATTAACTAGGCCATTGAGCATCCAGTAACTGCCACTTAACTACGAACAACGAGAAGCCGCATTGTGGAACGACCGCACGTACGATGTAGTATCGTAGACGCTTCGCGTTGACGTATTCACGTTGACGTACTTACGTCACGTGTATGAAGAATCGAGAGCTCAAAAACGTCATTGATTGAAACTATCCCTCACCAGCTTTCGTCGAATTCCAAACCGTTGATACTTACTCCATTTCCACGAAATTCTCGTGTCTCTTTTCGTGGCTTCTTTGCGGAGTTGAAAAATATAGACGTAACATTTTTGTCTTGCAAGTAGATCATAAATCCTACCGGTAAAGGCAGGTACTCGTTTTTGAAACTTAATATTGGATAGAATTTTAAATTTATTTAGAATACATTTGCTAAGAAAATCTTGCCTGGATCCTTCAAATTTTTGATGATAATTCTGGAGAAGTTGAAGCAAAATGTCCGGAAAATCAGTCCGGAAGTAATAATCAGTAATAACAAAAATGAAAATAATAATATTAAAAAAAAAGAGTAATTAAAAATTATGCGTTATAATTAGACCTTAATTTTACGAAAACCTAATGCCAAATGCCGTGTTTCGTTGCCATAACAAACTGCGTTATTTTTATACGATGATGTCAAGAACCGTAACGCTTGATATAGTCACTATTTAAGAACAAAATTTACAGTTTCAAAAAGTAACATTGCGATACATTTTTTATTACCAATAGAAGGTCCAACCGTTGGAAACTCTTACAACTATAAGGCCCATCGTTCGAAGAATCCTTCAACATCCACGGGATCAATAGGGGTGATTTTTCCCCCTGTAGTTATTTTTATGCTGACGAGCGGACAAATCTTGCAACAATTCCGAGTAAGCGTGAATCAGCTTAACTCAGCTCTGAGTTCCCGGAAAAAACGCTCTCGACGGAGCTTTCGTAAAGGGGGGTTCTATTTTCCCTGTCGCCCCCAACAAACCCCCCTCCCCTCGCGCAGAGTCGTTAGCCCCGTGTTTCAGTGCGTGCGTAAAAAAGTTCCATTCACAGCCACGGCGCCAATCACGTGATCGTAGTAACAGCGTCCCGATTTTTGCCGCATGCTGCACGTTAGTCGCTCCATTGAGAAGTGTGCCCAGAGACGTCTTAGAGGGTGCACATGGAAATTCCGGAAGATTTTGTATATGCCGTCTTTTCTTTCAACGTATGTTGTAAAAAATCCCCTCAGCTCCGAGTTGGACATCCGTGGGGGCTTCCTCTGGAAATTTTTAACAATTGAAATGAACGTATTTCTACCAAACGGAACTATGTGCATTAAGACATGAGCTCCGAGACCCATAAGAATATATGCATAGCAGGGCCCAAGTCATAATGCACATAGTTCCGTTTGATAGAAATACGTCCAAATGTCTTAATGCGTATCCAAAGCAACCTTAGATTTCTCCACCGAAAAATTCATCGAAATAAACTTGGAAAGTTGAGATACTTAAACTGCGTCAAGCAGAAAGGAGCCAAGCCACATCGGCTATCACCAAATTTAACTGGGCGATTTAATTTTTTACATGGAAACGGGATGTGCGGATTTCCATGCAGATTTTAGCGAATTTTCTGCATAGTAGGCAGCAAATTCCCTAAAATTTGGAAAGGAATCCGCTTAAATGTGCTCTTTTAAAATACTAAATTGCACCGTTTTTGGCAACAGCTGATGTTGCGTAGTTCCTTTTTGCTAAACGCGGTCCAATTGTCTTACACTTATTTCCATAAGTCACATTTTCTGATAATGACGGTCAGAATCCACCCGGCTCCTCCTAATTCCGCCCTTGTTACCAATGTCGAGTTCTCTTTTTTACAATTTTAAATTCTACAGCTAATTTCTCAATTTTATTGTACGCTGTTGTCTTTCTCCACCAACACTTTTTTCGGGCACCAGATCGTCTAACGAGGGTTGATGTCTTTCTTGTTTCAGGTCCCGCCGAACTTGAGCGACCGGACGACGCAGCAGATCCAGTCCCACCTGGGGAACTTCGACACGGTGAAGCACTGCCTCGTAGACCAACTCTACGGCGTGCCCCCGGCCTCCCCCGCCCCCGCAGCCGCCTCCTCCTCCTCCTCTTCCTCCTCGGCCGCCGCCAACCCCCCGGTCCACGAGTTCAAAAAACCCCCGCACCACCACGCCACCGGCAGGTCAACGTCTTCCGGCTCACACCACCATCACCCCGCCCCCAGGTAAGCTTCAATCGAACGCTTTCCCATTTTTCCGCCAGGGAAACTCATTCACATTTCCTAACTCAAAGTTGTCAATCTTGCCATTCAGTGGTAGGGTTGAATGACTCGCGAGAGCTTTAAAGAGGACATTTAGTCATAGCTAAGGTGGTCAACGCGAAGTAAGTTTCGTAGCTCACATCGGAGGGCACGGAGGGCCAGAAAAGCATCGAATCAGCCATGCGGTGCACGGATAAAAAATATATTAAAGACATGTGATGGTGCGTCTGATTGTATGCAAGCATCGGCTCACGGCCTTAAAATGCTTGTCATGAGAAACAAAAAGAGAGACAGAAGAAACGAGGGATGAAAGGATGGACGGAAAATCTGTCTCGGGGCAAACTTAGAAGAAAGCGTTGCGTTACACGCTACACAGATAGATATGAATTACAGAAGGTCAACGGGCCACACGAGCTTTGTCAAGGTGAAGACCGTCCCCTTGGCGCTAGGAACAGCGGTCGCTGAGGCCTGTAGAACGTCAGCCATGCAAATCTAAGGAATACACGGCAACCTGAAAAATCCAGGAAAGCTCAAGGAACGCGTAGGAAAAGTTAGGATATTTTGCGAGCAGCGTTCAGCAAAAATCAGTGTAGTAAAAGAAAAAAAAAAGTTATCGAAGTTTTGTTCGGGGGTCAGGTACAGTCAAAGAATTCTGAAATTTTGACGTCGGGGAAAAGCAAGAAAAAATCAGGGAACGTCAGAGAATCGAATAGTGAAGAAATTGTGGGAACCCTGTATCTTTGAGCTCGAGCACTGATGGCGAAGAAAACAAGCTGATTTTTCCTGGGGGGATCGTGTATCTTGGCCCTAACGCACCTAGCAAGAAAAAATCAGAGAACGTCAGAGAATCGAATAGTGAAGGAATTGTGGGAACCCTGTATCTTTGAGCTGGAGCACTGATGGCAAAGAAAACAAGCTGATTTTTCCTGGGGGATCGTGTATCCTGGCCCTAACGCGCCTCGGCGTCCCCGCGGACGGATCCGGGCGATCCTGTCGGGGCGATAGGGTGTCTTGCGGGAGGGGGGTCGGCTCACGTCGAGAAGTCACGTTTCCGCGACTGACGACGGGACGGGACGGTCGGGACGGGCGTCCCTTCCTCCCGGAGTCGCCGCGACTCGGACGTGGCGTCGTCGTCGGCGGAAAGGGCCGCCAAATGCCGCACAGTGGATCGAGTCAATCACAGAGGTCGCGCATGAAATTTTTGACTGAAACTGCAAATTTTGATGTATCATGGTGTCTACCGGTCCCCAAAATCCCCGATTTTGGATGGGTGTCACCGATATCCCGAAAGTCTCCAATTTTCTTGTTCAGGTTCCCAAAAATTGAGAAATATCGTCCTAAGCACCGGCAATTTCAAATTTTCCCGCCGGTGGCGCTATATAACCAGGAATAGAAAAACTGAAGTGTTGCTTGGTTTTTCGCATGTTTTCGTCGGTTCAACATGACTTGTAAAATTAGTCGTATAAAATACGCCTCTTAATGCTCTAACTAGCTCCATTTCTCTTACTATTTCGGGGAAAAAGTCCCCTTTTTTCATTGAAAAAACACCCCTGAAAGTCCCCAATTTTGTTTTTTTTATAACTGGTAGACACCCTGTGTATAATTCTTCAAATGTTACATTTTGAGGGGTGCCTTTCAAAGATAATTTCACCAGGAAACCAATTGAATCACTTTTACAATCTTAAAGTTCTGATTGAACGGAGTTATAAGCGTTTAAAGTTTCCATATCTTGTCCGACCTCTTCGATTTACTCGATCCACTGTGTGCCGGGAGAACGCATCGAATCGTCGCCGTCGTCGCCCGACTCGGGCCTCATTAGCATCCGAGCTCGACCGCCAACCGCCACCGTTCAATTGATTTCTCGCCGCACTCAGGGCCGACCCGACTTGACGCTCAAGCCGTGACTTCGCAAGTAGAATGCCCACACGGAGAAAAAAAAAGTTCCATCGCATGAATCGCAAGCGTGATGTTCTACAGGGTGGTCCAAAAGTCCCGCACCACCTTTTCAACCCCTTACGTTGTTTCTTCTAGAGTACCTACCTGTATACGGGAGAGTATTGCCATTCCAAACTTTTTTCCACAGAAAAAGTGCGCCGCTCTCTGATTGGTTGGCTATTATGGAGCCCCAAAGTTGGACCGATGTAAACGAATCCCAGCCCCTCCTTAAAATCTTAAAATTCTGATTTTACGGAGTTTAAACAGGGTGTCTAGCATCAGGAAAAACCGGAAAATATTAGGTATTTTGGCCGATCAGGAAAATATCAGGAAAATCGGAAAAATTAGACGTTTTATCAGGAATTTCTCTTACGCGAATTTCCTCAGCGGAGAAGTCTAACTGCCTTTTGCCTACCGTGCCAGGAGTCGACGAAAAATCAGGAAAATATCAGGAATTTTCAAAACGAAAAAATTAGGAATTTTTTATAAAACATCAGGAAAAATAAGGAAAGTATCAGGATTTTTCAAAATTAAAATATACTAGACACCCTGTTAAAGCTTTTGAAGTTTACAAATTTTGTTCGATTTCTCTCATTGACTCGATACTCTGTGAGCCGGGGCATAAAAACTGAAGTTTTGAACTGAATACTTTTCCTTACTTCGTATTTCACGCGAGCTATTGCCGCACGGTGGTCGAGTGCGCTTCATCTGGGATGGGCGTGCTGGGGAAGCGTGCCACTGTGCGGCGGGGGGCACTGGAGATAACCTTGCCCGGGGAGACTGCCCGATTCGGATTCCCGTCGTCGTCGCCGTCGCGTTTCCTGCTCGGCCGACCTTTCATGCCAACCGATTATCGCCTTTTTCTCGCTCCCCAACCAAAGCTCACAACCGTCCATTCCCACCGCACCGCCGCGCCACCGCCGTAAAAGCTCCAAGCTCCGCTCCGAGCCCAGAATAATCCACCGATAAATCCTTATTGCACCCATGTCTCTCGCTCGTGCTCGCCAATGAACGCCGTGAATTTTATTTACAGATCGGATCTGGTGACAGGTGCCAAAAAAGAAATTTCACGAAAGGGAAAGGGAAAGGGAAAGGGATCAGGGGTGCCAGAGTCAGGGAAAACTTGGGAATGTCAGGGAAAGTGACGAAAATGTTAGGGAAAAATCGTCAAGTCACCTTTATTTGCTTTTTCGGATGGGTTTGACGTTCCGAACAACAAATTTTGCCCGAAAAGGGTTCCTAACTATGTCTTTGTAACACTCTGACATTTGTTCAACTGCCAGGGAATTTCACCAAAATATGTCAGGGAAATGGCAGGGAGTTTAATTTTCCAAATTCTGTGGCAACCCTGGAGTGTCGATAAGGGCCGCTTTTGAGCCTACACTGAATTTTCCCAACTCAACGATGTTTTGCTTAATGGAGGTCTATAGTTTACGGAATGCATCATGCAGGCTTGCCGCAGTCGGGGAATACTTGGAAACGTCAGGGAATTTTAAAAAGTCAGGGCTAACCTGAAAATGTCACGGAAAAATTGATAAGCACCTTGTCGTACGTCCTTTGTCCATTGCCACCACCCGCTTCCACCAATAGGATCCCTCCATATCCTTTTTGTCATCTTTGTCTATCAATTTCAATCATCAGCCCTCTGGGTCTCCTGCTTCTAATGGAACTGGCTTCACCCGGTAGAGTTCAGTTTTGGCACCGTGACCAGCCGGATTGCAGCTCCTGGTTTCCATGCCCATGTAGTGGAGCCCGCAGTAGCTACACACTGCACGTCCGCGTGCGAAAGTGTGCGTCCACGCTCGTTTGTCGTGTGTGTGTGAGCGTGTCAACGCGCAACTCCGTAACACGAACTGCTCATCACTTTCTCCCGCAGCCCGGAGCATCATTGCCACGTCAATGCCGACCAAGATGACGGGAATCTCTCTCGATGGCGCATCAGAGTTGAAGCTCGATTTTCATTCACGTATTTCTACCGGCGTAGTTTTGAAGAGCTTATTTTACGGAAGAGTGGACAGGGTGTCTACAAGTCCGGAAATAGTACTGATTTTTTCAGGACGGTCCGGAAATACTGAAAAAGTGCGAGAAGGTCCGGAATTTTTGGCATTTTTGTCGCACCTCTAGCGAGAAATTCAAATTTCGTCAAATGGAAAATGAAAATGAAAAACTGAAAATGCACTGACTTTTTCAGTTAAGGAGGTAGTGAATTTCTTGGGAATGTACTGAATAAGTACTGTAAAAGTGCTGATTTTTGGCCAGCCTGTTTTAGTAGACACCCTGGTGCACGATTGTACCCGTATGTTAGGGATGTCACACTCAAGAGGGATATGGAGACTGCCGATTGCAGGGTCGCCAAAGTGTGTTTTTTTCGGACTCCCTCCTCGCGATAACTTTTGGCTCCCTTGAGATTCGACTGAAATGATGCCTCCTGAGTTGAAGGTCAATTAATCGAAATCCTCCTCCCCCGCTTTTGCTCGAAGTGTGGATTCAACCTCGTACACGAAAAAAAGTAGGATGGTCGTCACAACCAGCGGCTGGTTAAAACTGCCTTAGCTACCGTTCGGTATAGTTACGGTAACTACCGCGGTAGGGCACACAACTAACCCGGTAGATACAACGACAATGGTAGTTATGGTTACTACCACACGGTAGCTGGCGCATTTTTAACCAGTCACTGGTCTTGGCCTTGACGACTTATATCCTTTTTCCCCCACGTGTATCGAAGTATCAATCGGATTCCCTAGCAGTAGAGAAAATGATGAACTCGCAACTTCCCACCAAGAAAACTAATTTAAGACAATAATCGGGTAACGCGAAAATCATGTCATGATTCTGTTTAACTTCCGAGTTGTGATATCGTCCCGCATTTGCATCGTTATGGCTGCGCTCCAACTTCTACGGGGGAGATTTTTCGGATAACGGAACTTGAGACGCGCTTCCAGAAAGTTTCACGGCGGCTCTGCGTCGGCCGAAGCGTCAAATTAATTGGGAAACTTCTCAAATAGTCTGGTCAGAAAAAGTCCCTTCAATTTGTCGCGCAGTAAAACAGGACGTGAGAACACTGAAGTTGTCGTCTCTGTTTTTCTTTTCGACGGCTGGTCTTCATGCAGCGAAAACCTGCAAGCCGTCGCCGGTACTTTTCCGAAAGGGGTGGAACCTTTTACTCTGTGGGGCTCAACATTCTTTTTAGAGCAGCAACCGCATCAATCGTCATTTGAACTGTTGATGCTAAAAGGAGCTCGAGTCGGGTGGGGAAGAAGGGGTGTGCTCGTGAGTGAACGTCCCTTGAATTGGAACTATAAAGCACCAGTGACGTCAGTGGCGACGACGAGGTTGTCGGTCTGTAACTCGTGAGCCCTGTCCACAACGCTCTTGCCACATGCCCACGGCTCATGTCAGCATATTTTGGCGCTTAGTTCCTTCTGATTCAATGTCAGATCCCGCTTTTCCATTTCTACGAAAGGAATCACGTCCACTTTTACATTGTTCCTTATGCAGCATTTACGAGCACATCTCATCTTTCCTAACTGCCTTTAGTTTCTCTAAGCATTAATACGTCCATTTGAACTTCTGGTTCTCTTAAAAGCTTCAAGATAAGCAGTGCGCCCAGGAAGATTACCAAACATTGGCTTACTCGTCACCCTTAAACAAATCGCTCAACCCGTGTCTCGACGGCCATAACTTTCTCGTGGGGGTGGGGGGCACCAGTTTTTTAGGAGGGGCTTGGACTCCCGGATACCCCCCGAAGGACTCCATGCATTAAAGGCGGAAGTTGAAAGTGGAGTCATCAATCAAAGCTCCGAGACCTCTCATCGGCCAGCGGTCCTAGTTTCTGTCAAGTTACCCAATTCCCGTTTCTAGCTTCTTTTTTGATCGTGGAATAGCAGAACCCTTGGCTCCTCATGACGAGGAGATCAATTTTTCCACGAAGTATGGCAACGCTGCTGCTGGCGGAATAGTAGAACACGACACACGGCGTGCGCCGCAAGGTCCATAGCTGGATGCCTCGAATCATAATCTAAATATTTCTCGTTTCCTTCTCTTTTTTTCGTCGAGCGAGTGAGCCTTGCCGAGCGGTGCCGTTTTTCCGGTGAAATTCACCATGTTCCGCGTTTTATTAACGGGGATCGGACGATTTGGCGATGACGTAGGTCGACGTCACGCCGGCGAGTTCCCGACGGTAATCGACTAATCGAGGAATTCGGCGCGGCGGGGCACCGGGCAACAGGAATGCCCCGCCCGGCGAGAACCGCCTAACTCGAGTGGAAAGCGTATGTAATTGCGCGGTTTCAGCTTAGTGCGCCGGAGGAATGGGCGCAAATATTTAGAAACTCCCGTCCGTGAAATCCGGACGATTTATCGAGTGGTGAAGCCGGCGATTCCTCCGTTTTCCCCGTGTTTACGGTTCGTGATGTCACGAGGGATATCTTCGTCAAAAGAAGCCAGCTTTTAGGCCGTTTTGGGGTGAGCGAGAGGGTGTTCCTCTCCGTGGGAAATCTGGAAATCAAGCAGGGACGAAAAGTAGAGGAGATAGGAAAACGTATGCCGTTTTTGAGCATGGTCATTGAAGGTGGCAACAGTCAGGGAAAATGGGGGAAAATTCGGGAAATTTTTCATCTGGAAAGAATTCAGAACCGAGCAGTCGAACTAGTTTATTTTTTTCTTTGAATGAAATATTTCACACACTGGAAATAAAACACATTGGATCTTGAGTCCAGACTCTTGAAAACATTGACAAGAAAAAATACTCTTGATCCAATCGGATTTTTGCTTGAATCAAAACGAAATCCGCTCAAATTAAGAGGCTTGGTTCTTGATTTAAGCTTCTGATAGAATTAAGAGTACTTTTTCTTGTCGATGTTTTTAAGAGTCTGGACTCTAGATCCAATGTGTTTTCTTTTTCCAGTGCAGCAATGGCTGTGGTCCAAATTATGACTTGAATTTTTGGCCTCAATTCGTCGACCTTCAGACGAAACAACGTAACTCCATGCCGAGGTTGCAAAATTGTTTCTGAAATGCAATTTTCTATAAAAATCTGACGAAAATATTTTTTCTAAATTTTACTGATTTCCCCGTGTGATCAAAAGAATACACAGTAAATTGTTCAGTGAAAACTGCCGAACACTTTCCCATTAAAAATTAAAATTGCGAGAAGAAATGTTCCAGTATCGTATAATGTAGTCACGTTCTTTCGTCTGGGAAACGAAGAATTGCCGGATTGCGCGGATTTTTTGCTGTGCTGAAAATGTTGACCTTTCACCATAAATCACATTGCACTCAACCCCATCACATTTACTACTGATGACGCAAATTGAAAGCTATGAATGATGAATTTCAGCAGGCACCTTTTAGATTTTTTGCGTGTGGAACTGGTCCACTGCGAATAATCAGTTCGTTGAGTGATTTTTTATCGTTGCACTTTTGAAGAGCTCGAGTGCACTCATTCTATAGAAATTTCCTGAGGTTTTGCTGAACTTCATTAACCCACGAAAAACGAGTTCGAACATGCGTATCTTGAGCTTCCGTTCAAACATGCATAGTTATTTTCAGTAGTTGTCGTTGTAAAAATTGCGTTTCACGGAAAATTTTGACGAGGAAACAGAAATCTCAATGTTTAATTTTACTCCTTGTCTAGTGGCCCACAAAAGTTTTATGCGAAAGCTCATTCTGTCACTTTAGCTCGTTTTTTATTAAAGTCAACTGGACCGCGTTAAGCAGAAAGGAACCAAGCCACATCAGCTGTTGCCAAATTTAACTGGGTAATTTAATTTTTTACAAGAGAACGTTTGTGCGGATTCTCCTGAAAATTTCAAGCAATTTGCTTCGCACTACATACAAAAAATTTACTGAAATTTTCACAAAAATCCGCACAACCGTTTTCATGTGAAAAATTAAATTTCCCAGTTAAATTTGACAATAGCTAATGTGGCTTGGTTCCTTTCTGCGAAACGCGGACTATCCTTCCGACACTGAACGGCATCTTTAACAAGATGATTTTGTTTTATTTTCGCAGAGGCGGCTTCGTGAAACCGGCGGACGGTAAACCACCGTACAGTGGGCGGGGTTTCTACCCGGGTCAGCCGGTGAAGCACGGCGGAGTTGGTGGGAGCTCGAGCAACGACTTAAGGTCCAACGGAATGGCCCCGGCCAAAGGGCCCCCGACCTCCTCCCACCCCTCACACTACTCGCACCAAACCCCGAGGATCAACCCCGTTTCGAGGAACGCAATCAGGGTAAGTTTAGCAAGTAAAGTCAACATAGCGAGCAGGGTTTCTACAAGTCCGGAAACAGTACTGATTTATGAAGGGCGGTCCGGAAATACTGAAAAAATGCTGAAATTTCGCGAAAAGGTCCGGAATATTTTTAATTTGTTGTCATTTTTGTCGCCGTTTCAAATTTTTGAAATTTTCGAATTTCGTCAAATGGAGGTACTGAAAAAGTACGGAATTTTTCTGTTGGAGGAGGTACTGAATTTCTTGAGAATGTACTGAAAAAGTACTTATTTTTGACCACCCTGTTTTAGTAGACACCCTGGCGAGGAATCTGCCTTGCTAAGGAAAAAAGTAGTAAGCATCTACTTTCGGAGGTTCCTGAATTTTACCTGAAAGAATATTCATTCGCCGGAAAGGGCGCGAATATAACCTTCTTAAATTTTCAGGTACATCAGATAAAATTGTGAGGTAGTACTGTAAAAAATTTGAAGAAAAAAGTAATCAGGGTTCCAAATGGTATATTAAGTTTAGATACATTAGATTAAATCGTGAAGAAATTCTGTGAAAAAGTCAAACAGAAATGCACATGAATTACCAAGAAGATTCTATTTTTATCACCAGCAATTTGCCAGTTTCTCGATCTGAATCTAGTATATTTCCCTAGCAAGGCAGAAATTTTGGGTTTGGGGGAACGCCGTTTGTGCTTTTTAATGTTGCCAAATTTCACCCCGGTAAAAGTATGTATTTTAAGGGAAAGTTCAGAATTCTGGCATCGCTCAAATTCTCTTGCGAGCGCATGGGGGATTCTTATCTCGCTAGGCAGAAAAACCGGGCTTCGCCCATTTAAACGCATCTGAAACAATCGATTTTTATCGAAGAAAACTGTCTCGCCTAGAATCTATAATTTATAATGGATTTGAATGATGGGAAATCACTGTTGGCAACCTGCATGAATCGCCACTGCATTTTTCCTCAGCAGGGCAGAGCAGCACTTCAACGTTTCCAGGAACTCGGCCAAACTTTTCAATCGTCCAGGAGATCTTTTTCAGGAGAGAAGCTTTAAGTGCTACTTGTAACATTATCTCATGTTAATATCTCATTCTTCTTGGAGCTTTTCCTCTGGCCAAAATCTCTCCAAGGTGGACTCAATTGATTCCCTCTCCTTATACTTCTGCCGTGATAGCGAAGATAATAGTAAAATAATGCATTTCTGTATGAGCCATGGTTAGCCCATGCTTGTATGTGTCTTGAGGTTCATCCCAGTATGCACTTACTGCTCTCTTCGCTATCACGGCTGACTTAATAGCTTCGAAAATTTAAGCCGAGTAGAGAGTTTTGAGAGCGTAACATTTTCAGGAATCTTGCACGTCAAATCAACCCGTCAGTACGGTAGACCAGTAAAGAAATGCTCATTTAAGTTTTTTACACGCCAAGATTTGGAACAGCTCTAGGTTTCACAAAGTTTAAAAAGATAAAATCGATGGAAGTTAAAGTAGGGGGAAAATGACGTTCATGGAAAGCAAGACGTTGTTGGACTGACTATATACGAACGCGTTTGTAAAATCTCTTTTCTTTAAAGAAAAATCAATGGCAAATAATAATATGGTCCTTATAAATTAGAATAAAGAAGCTGACCCCAAATTCTCTTTAAAGACGTTAGTAGCCTCATGGCCGGATTTACCTACTTGCCGCCGCCCTCTTCTTATTCATTTTGAAATATCAATAAAAACCATCAAGTGAACGTGCCGGAGGGAGAAGGTTGCATAAGACGCGTTCACTCGTGTTGGACACACTTTTTGCGTAAGCCCTGTCAACACTACTAGCAAAAGTTCACGGAACTTCGCGCGAAAGTACAGTTCCGTAAACCTATTTCTGTGGGGACAAGGCCTTTCATTTGTAAGAAATGAACTAAAAAATTAAGAAAGAATAAACATAAATGTAGTTTAATAATTATAACTTCCGCCGCCGTGCCTCGCTGACCACACTGTGTTTGGCGCAGTGCGTGAAGTATTCATGTAGTCTTGTAGGCACTGTGCGTTTCACGCCGCGCCGACCGCTGTTGACCGCACTGTGTTTGACGCAATGCGTGAAGTATTCATGCAGTCTCGTAGGCGCTATTATGTGTTACATGTCGACCACCGCGGCGAGGGCTTCTCCTTTTCATCTCAAGTCCTCGTCATCATTTCTCTCTGCGCCCCGCCGCACCAGGCCAAATTACGTGTTTGGTTTCTCTGTTAACTCAACTAATTGAAGGTGCGCAGTCTTTTGTATCACCGAAATACGACAAAATTAGAAATTAATGAACTCAAAGGAAATGAGAGATTTTGTCACCTTTTCTTGTTTGTAATTTTTTTCTGAATCCGATTTTTCGTGTACCTGCATTTAAAAAAATTGCAAAATTTGCCGCCCCCTAATTTTGCCGCCATGGGCCGCGGCCCATGTGGCCACTCCCTTAATCCGGTCCTGAGTAGCCTAGGATGCTGAATTTCTATAAATAAAATATCTTACTAACCAACTCTCTGCTGACTTGTATTTCTGTATGAACGCAATGGCGCAACAGCTCAATCAGTATTCAAATCGGCATGTATCTATAAATTTTCTGACTTTCCCCCCTTTCTGAAAATGTTTTCTAGTTTGTTGAGTTTAAGTTTTTTTTAATAGCTCAATACGTTTATCATTTGAATTAATTTTCTCCTAATGTTATTCTTATCTTTTTTTGTGTTCATTCTTTTTCAGCCCTCTTTAAGTTCTAGTTCATTTGGCTCTCGCAGTGTACCTGGATCTGATCATCAACCAATAGAAGTTGATAGCATTCTAAAAGTAAGCCATTTTATTTTTTCATTTTGCATATGTAACCGATTTTTGAAAAAAATTTACCTTGACTTATGACACCTGATAAAAAAAAAGTCAGTTGGCCATTTTGACTCATCAACATTTAAGCAAGGTATTATCAATAACTGTTGATGTTCTGTTTGAATAACACTCAGTTGCAACTAGAAATCACACTCAAAACAGTTTAAAAGGCCCAATAACAGCTCCTTAAAACGGAAGGGAGAGACTTTAAATTATATCTATCTATTTATCCATCTATCTATCTATATCTATCTATCTCTCGAACTAAAAGATTGTGTAAAGATTCTCAATTTATTTTAATGTTCGTAATCAATTTGCGATGTTTTCTTTGTACAGGAAATGGCGGATGAAAGAATTAATGCTCCTCTTACAGCCATTGCGGCAACTCCACGTATTGAGACTGACAATTCTAAATTTGTGTTCAATCCTGCACTAGGCAAGGTGAGTAACTGCAAGAGTATTATTAACTCGTTATCAAATTAATTGCTAAATTCTGGATATGACCTTATTACTAATGCACACAAAAAGTATGAAAAAGTCCTAAGTGAATCATGAAAATTAATGCAAACAAACCAGTTCTGTTAGAAATATTAAAAATAAGAAAAAAATTTATCAATGATTTAGTCGCTTTGTGAATTTAGTGATGCTTAAAAGTTTGCACAGTACTTTATCATTAGGAAAATAACACTTTACTCGGAAGGAATTATTTGTTTGCAATTTTTATTCCAGTCTGCAGCCCCCCCCCCCTCTTCAATTGGAGTTAGAGGCTTGTTAGTTGGCCGTCAAGAATTTAAATGACTCTTAATATCGTCTCTCCTTTATACATTTAGAACGACCTGCAAAATGTTCTCAATGCTCTGAAACAGTCACAATTTCAGTAGGAATATGAGCAGTTTGAAACTCAAGTGGTCATTTAAACGACTGCTCTAATCTTTGCAACTGAAATAAACACTGTAAGAGGGAGAAACTGTTTGGTAGTGTAGATTTTTAGTTTCTTGACATGGTGGATTATAATTATTGACTAAAGTCTGCTTCGATAACAGATTCAGCAATAGCTCTTAACCTTGGGAATCACAGTTCGACTGTTAGAATTTTTCTCAATATTCTAGGAGGACATAAAAGAGCTTATTTTCCCTCACAGTCTGCGCCATAGTTAGCAGCATTGAGTTGTAATTTTATTCAATGAGTAGATACTATTTTTTAAAAGCAGGCTTCCAATAAAACGTCTTCTGTAATAGATGACATTTTTAGAAATAATTTTTTTTATTTTTATTTATTTTTTTAAAAAAAAAAAAAAAAAAATCTATCTAGATTGAGAAATTTTGAAGAAAATTTTTGAGGAGTGAGAATATTTGAGTCCGATGCAGAGGCATTTGTTTGCCAAGTGCATGAAATCTTTAGTATTGGACAATTTTAGTCAGGTTAGAAAGAATGAACGAAGGTGATTTACTTATTTAGGACTGGACAATCATGAAATGTGAGCATGATTTCATTGTTATTTTTTTATCTGTAGAGTATTATCATAGGGAACTAAAATATTTTGGATTGTTTTCTAATTGTTGCTATTTTATTTATTCCAGATGGAATCAACAGTGCCTCTTTCAGACCTAAGATCCCGTAAGTACAGACTTCCTTAATCTTTTCTTTGTTCCACACATTCATGTTGACTGAGCCAGCTTTTCCTTCTCTGCTCTTTTCCTCTTTTTTTTTTATCTTTGTGTTCACCTATTGTGTTTGTGCGAATTTGTACATGCTTTTAACATATCAGTGAATGGTCTGGAGGTAAATTGTATGCTTGCCAGAGATACTAAATCAAGTGAAATGAATGTCTTCAAAGATCTTTCGACCTTTTGTTCCGCTGAAATGACTAAGAGTCATCAAATAACTACAAAAAATATAACACCCAGTAAGGGTCTACGTCAATCTGTGAAGAGTAATGAACGTTCGTTTTTTCATGTAAGGCTAAATTGAGGAGACAAATATTTTAGTAGAAATGCTGTAGAAATGGCTGTTGTGACTTCCGGGGCTGTCTCTAAACACCCAGAATGTACTCCTCGTGATTATGTATTTTTTTAAAAAGAAAATGCATTTTCAGTTTTTCAATTTAAAGAACTCAGTGGGAAGAACATGAATTGGCTGCAGAAAATCATGCTTGTTTTTATGCTAAAGGAAACTTTTTTGCCCTGTAAAATTAGATTTTGTAGTCAAGTAGAATTTAAAATCCTCTACTCAAAGCAAAAAAGCTCATTTAAAACCCCAGCATGGTCCAAAGTGAGTCAGAGTAGCACATAGATTCTTGATTTTAAACTGCCAGGGAGGTAAGAGCTCCTCTTCCCACTCTCCAATCTCCAACCCAACACATGAGTGTATTGGATTCAGAACTTGACCAGTGACAGCATTGCTTTGGTTTTGATAACAACTCAGTTTTTTTCTTGGTATCGTGATGCTTTTCATCATGGCTCAAAAATTGAGAGTGCATCCCTCATTAATCTCTATGTATGCTCCTTATGAGATGTAGAATAGCAAAAGTCTGTAAATATAGTGCTCAAGTGCGAAAATTTCAGCTCTTCTTCTACCACTTTAGTTGTGATATTGTTCTTTTCGTTTTTTCTAAGTGTGTTGTGAATATCTAACCAGTAATAATTGTAAATAAATATTTAATTGATTTTAGGATTTCTGAAGGTCTTTTGCCAGAAATCCTGATTTTCTTCACTCGGCCTGTTTCGCCGGAGGATAACTGTTCCAGTCAAGTTTTGAATCATTTGTAGCCTGACCATATTTCCCTTTTTAACTAGCCCTTAACAAATTGTGTACTTCAGCCAACTTTCATCTTTTTGGGGGAACAAGTATAGCTTGTCTTTCGCAAACGCATCAATTTTTAGAACGGACAACAAATCACAGATTGTGTCGAAACTTAAACATTTATTGGGAAGTTTCACGAATCGTCTTTTGCATCTCTTACCTCCAGATAATTCACCGACTCTCGCGAGTTAAATTTAACTGAACTCATGGCTCATATCGAGGCAACTCTCGATGTATGCTAATACCGGGTTTCGTTCATTTAAATGCATGAAAAACAATCGATACCAATCGAAGCAAGCAATTGCGCGCAGTATCGATTATTTATAATAGATTTAAATGGAAGGAGAGAAGCGTTACCAACCTATTCTCCAGCGAGTTGGCGACCGAGCGGTCCTTGTGTTTACGCGACCAGCGGCATGTCGGCAGCCGCGTTTCGAATCTCGACCGACCTGACACTCAGCTCGGAGAGAATCTTGCGTCACAGCCTCTGCGCCCCCCCCCGCCCGGGCGGCCAGTCGCCTCGCCGCCGCGTTGCAACGCTAACCTCGCCAATTCATCGAGGTCTGAAATTCGAATTATTTCTTTCAGCCTGGATTGCCAGTCGGATAAAATTCGGCTCTATTTTAGTTCTCAGCGAAATCTTTGTAATTTATGAAAAATTTTATGTGCTGATGAAATAATTTCCCGACCCGGGCCGCGAGTCGCAGTGTGGTATAGTGGCGTGGCGTGCTTTGCGATCTATCGATATTTCCCCATTTGAAGCTGTAGTAAATAATCCATTATTAAGGTGTTCGCTCCGAACACCCTGATAATAGATCCTTTTCCATAGGTTCAAATGACTTAACAATCGATGTATCGCAAAGTCAATTTGGAACTACAATTTCTGGCTCATTTGTATAAACACTTATGCGCGTAGAGGAACTTATGGCACATACATTGTTTCTAAACTAAGCCAGGAATCGTTGTTCCAAATCGCAAAATGTGCTCCAAACAATGCTTTGCCTACAGCCCAAAATTACGGAATTCAGCCGGATAGATCTTCGTGAATCAGCTGCAGATTAGAGTAGCTCGCGTAACTTTTTTTCCAGTTTCGAGATATCACGAGAAAACTGCTCGTTTCTTCCTCGTGATTGGACGATTTTCCAAAATTCTTGTTACGACCTCTGAAAGGTTGTAAGCTGTTAAGGTGGCTTTGTGAGGAGCTTGAAGTTACGATCAGATAAATGGACATGGTAAATAACCCCGGGCGTGGAAGCCGTAATTACGGGCTAAATGGACAAACCGTCCGCTTTCTGGGTTCAGAGGTCGAAAGTACCGGGCATAGCACCCGGAGCAGTCGAGGCTACGGAACTTTCGGCCGCTGAACCCGTAACATTTTTTTCAGTGGATTAATTTTGCGAGCCAAGCGGCATCCGCGCGAACGCAACGGTGGAATGACGTCAGTTCGGCGTTGCGTTGTCGGGAAGGTGAACCGCTCCGGCGATTCGGTTCGAGCACGAGAGATGGAGAGAGAACGAGCGAGAAGGGGATGGGACGAGAGGAAGGGAGAGAAATTTCTCGGCCAGATATCGTCGAGAAGTATGCACCGGGGGATGTTACTCTCCTTTATAAATTTAAATGAACTAATCAACGTGGAGAGCGAGTGCAGAATGGAGTTCCCGCACGAGACAAGGAAGTCACGTGCTAAGGTCATCGTTGTGCAAGGCGAGGGTTTTTTTCTTGTAACGCCCGAGAATTTTCCGGCTTACTTTTCTGGGAAGGAAAAGTAGGGTGGTTATTAAATATCTGGAAACATCCCTCTCATTAACTCGGATAGTTCTGTATTTAGAGTTTGACTGGCTCAGTATACTTGTCTGGAGAAGATCTGAAAATTTCCTCCTGAAATTCTGACGGAACGACCGCTACTTGGATTACATTTTGCAATAAGGAGTTTTGCATCTCTGGCTCTTCTGTGGAAGAACATCTCTGCATACAGAAACCAATGGCATTTATGGACCACATTTTGCAATTTCGAATTATAAATTCTGGCTCTTCTGGAAAAACACTTATGTCCAAAGGGAAACTAATGGCACTTACGTCGTTTTTAAATTGGGCTAGAATTTATAGTTCCAAATTGCAAAATGTAATCCATATGTTGTTTCTAAAATGAGCCAGAAACAGTGGTTCTTTATCGCAAAATGTGGCCCACTTCAAGCGTGAAAATCGCATGTTTCTTGCAATATCAGGGTGGCTGTCACTAGTTTTCCTTAAACTTTCTGCAATTTGCTTTAAAGGAGGAAAAAGAGGCACGGAGAAAAAAGGCTCTCAAAATCGAAGCACATATCGAGAAAATGGAATGAGCTTTGGAGGGAAAGTTTTGCATTCCTGGATAGTGCTATTTTAATGGATCACATTTTGCCATAAGGAACCACAATCTCTGGCTCTTCCATAAAAGCACATTTTTGCGTAGGGAAATGAATGGCATATATTATGTTGTCTCAAAAATGAGGCAGAAATAGTAGTTCCTTAATGCAAAATATGGTCCAATTCTAGAAAAAAAACACAAAAACTCAGGGAATCAAATTGGCACCCTCAAATAATGACAAGCAAAAATTTTAAATTTTGACTTTCGCTGCTCGCGGTAATCGCTACACTGTGATAACAGCGAAATGCAAGTGTGGACGAACGAACGTGTACCGTCACGTGCTTCCGGAATCAGATTTGATTATGAATGTTCCGCGAGAAGTATCGCGAGATTTGAAGGGGTTAGTTCTGGCAGGAAACGGGAGCCGCACACACTGACTGGCCGTGACCGTGGCCCGCGGAGCGGAAGGCCCGCTTGTGTACACCGTGTGGTATCACGCCGATCTACGGGCGATTTCAATACGAGTGCAACTCCACTACGCAATGCGGGCCACGCGCCTTCCTTTGATCTTTCCTCGCGCTTTCAATCCACCGCACCATGTGACCGACGTCCTTTGCTGCTTTCCTTTTTTCTTTTTTCATGCGGTTTTATTCCTTCAACCCCTCTCTTCATTCGTTTTGTTTTTTTTGAAGTAGCCGCATTCTAGGTTTCCTTTCATTTCAGAGAGACTGAGTTATAAGACAAGGTTTTATCGCCATCATATATACGCGTCATGAGTTGTCCTCTCGGGTTTTTTCTCTCTCTTACCTTTGGGGTATTTTCATTCAAATGACTTCTTCAGTCACGGAAACCCTTGAAATTTTAATAAAACCTACAAAGTTACGGAATTTTTCCAACATTAGTTCATCATCATCAAAGGATTTTTATGTTCGAGTTTCGCAGTACCGCAGTTATCCAAATTTTTTCATAGAAATTTGGACTTATCGAAAATCTGGGAGAGAACCTAAATTCCGAGAAGCAAACGAAATTCCTGAAGTTAATAAATTCCGGAAAAAGCTTCTTAAAAATATCCGAAATTCCGGAATCTGGCTCTGAATCCTGTACACGAAAGCTCTGATTTTGAGGCGTTACGAGCGACCGTCGGGGGAAAAACCTTCGAGCGTAAAAATCAACAGGGAAGGAAAGTCTCCTCTCGGATTCACGAGCCACCCGACAACCGACAACAACCCACCCCCCGCCCTCGACGAGACCTCCCTGTTTCACCTTTATTTTCCCTCTCTTTTCACGCCGTGCGGACTAATCAATCGCAACCCCGCCACCCC